GAAGATCTTTTGCAAATTTAAATATACCAGGTCGGTGTATTTTAACATAAAAAGTTAAAAAACTGGATTCAATTCGAATAACATTGGTTGCTAAGGCCCATCAACGTTCAGACTCCCCAACTCCATGCACAGATAGAACTTAGAAGTTTTCTACCAACTCCACAGCTTCCATCACATCTGCAACCTTCACGCAACACAGATGCCTGCCTCCACCAAACCCAACCCAACACATTAATCTCTCTGTCTTGCCTTGAGAGTCAAGCTTTCCATTGGTGGCTTAATGGCCAAGGCAATGGTGGAATTAAACTAATTAAGGGGTTTGGTTTGAATTTGGTTGGACAGAAGTTGCAGGTTGAAAGAGAAAGAGAGAGGTGAAAAGAATTTGTTGTAATCTCAGTCAGTTCTTGGAATACTACCAAATGACCATATCTGGGACTTAATTAATTTAGATTTAGAGATGTTTCTTTCACTCATAACTGGTTCAAAATCAATTCATTCACGTTAGATAGAATAATTGGTGCCACCAAAATCCCAAGTATAGGACTGGTCCAATTCTTTCAAATTTGTTTTAATTTATACTGGTCCTAACCCAAACCTGGTCATTAACACGTATTTTCTTATCTTCTATTAATCTCATATTTGCTCAATCCAACCCAATTCAATATAAATTTATTATAAATGAATCAGGTTCAGTCCAATTCAATAAACATTTTAGACCATTAAATCTGAATTTGTCCAATTCAATGTATCTTATTGGTCCATCCAATTCGTCCAAATTGATTTTGGCTTGAACGGGGTCCAATCCAAAACCAGTCCATTGACACCCCTACTATAGATGGTCTTCTATATTAATCTCAATTTACTTTTGCCCATTATTTGATTGAAAATTTAGCCACACAATAAATCAAATTTGCAGTTTGTCCAAAAAGTAATCCTCGAGTTCTACAAACATCATTTAGAATTTTAGTTCAACCAAATGGCAAAAAGTAGTCTATAAGCAGAGATTGGTCCAAGTAGTTCTGAAAATTCACAAAAGACAGCACTTGATATCGGCAAGATGAGTACTTCGGTTATGATTTTTAACTCTTGTTTAGGAAAGCCTATTTTTAATCATTTATTGAGAAAAAATGTTTATTTTAGGCCAGGATCACACCAATAAAGACTTATATGTTTTTGGAAAATAAGTCAGAATTAGTGATTTTTAAGTAAATAAGGAAATAAGCCCAGTTTGAATAAGTTCAAAATTTTGGCTTTTTAAGCACTTTTTTAGAAAGTGCTTATTGCATTTCTGCCCGTGTTGGTGTGCCATGTAATTATTAAAATACTTACACTACTCCTCTTTGAAAGAAGCACTTTTCCACCTAACACTCAAAAGTGTTTATATTAGGAATAAGCACTTCCAAGCAGGGGCTTAAGCAGGGAAAAAAAAACTGATTCTCTTGTGAAGAAGATAACTGTTTTCCTAAAGTATTTAAATTAATTCTATATAAATTTTAAATCCAAAAAAGTAAATTTAGTAATTCTCCCACAGACAAATACAAAATATCATTCTCAAGAGCATCACAAGCACTAGAACTGATTCTCCCACTCGACTTCATTTGGTATTTGTGTAGCCCACACTAAGGCTATGCTTGGTTTGAAGGAAAATGCAGGAAAGGAAGGAAAAGCTTCGATTTTAATTTTCATTTGATTTTTTTTTTTTTGGGGGGGGGGGGGGGGGGGGGGGGGGGTGGTTGATAGTTTGAGAATGTGAATGGTTTTGTTTCTAAAATGAAAACACAGCCACATCAGCAAAAAACACATTTTTGCTGATGTGGCATTGTTTTTTGGTTTAGAAAACAAAACAATTTGCATTGTGGAACACCCTTAGAGAGTAGAGACTTGAAATATTAGTCAACTTTAGGGTCCTTAGTCTTTGTTTTTATTTAATTTAATTTGATTATCAGTTTGAAAAAGAAAGTTGAAGTCAAGTTCAAAATAAACAAAGGGGTTCGTTTTCAGTTGTCCAAACATTAGAAATAATTTAGGTGGGCAAAGAAATATTAGAGATTGCGTTTGGTCTTTATTATATTATTATATGCCAAGACTTCTTGTGGAAATTTGGTCTTATCAATAAAAAAAAAATGGGGTTTTCTTCTTATCTTGTGATAGGGACATAGGGCCAACATATTTGTGAAAAAAAATTCTCTCCCCTTTTCCTTTTACTTTCCTCTCTCAATGGATACCCTTTTTCTTTCATCATACTCTGTTTCATTAGGCCTTTGTTTTATGTAATATTTATCCAATACATATATTTAGAATTGATTCGAAATCATTCCAATTCTTAAACTAAGGGGATGTTCACCAACATGGTTAGTTTTGCTTTGCCACATCAGAAAAAAAAAAACATATTATTTTCAAAAATCAAAATCAAGGTTATTATCAAACACCCCCTAAAGATTCCTTCAATGCTAAAACCGAATTATTGAACTAAAAATCTCGGTTTTGGTTTTTGGATAATTCAATTCGGTTAATTCGGTTTTTAGTAATTTCGATTTTGGTTTTCAGATTTAAAAATTCGGTTAACCAAAAAAATTGAATTAACCAAAATTCATTATATAATATATAATATGATATATATTAATATATTATAATGAAATTAAATTTCATAATATATATTATAGGTTATAATATATAATATTATATATTAATTAAATTCAGTTTTTAATCAAATAAACCGAATGTTCACCCCTAGAATTTAGAGAGAAACACATGTATGTAGTCTTACCCATGCAAATATATAGAAAAGCTATTTCCAAGATTTAAAACTTGATCATCCAAATCCAATTTCCTACTTATCACGACAATAAATTAAGAGAACTGCCCAAAATAAATTTTGAAGCTGCTATACATGCCCTAAACACCAGCCACAAGGAATGTCTATTTATTAATAAAATGAAAATGACGTGGACCCACAAGATGCGTCATAGTTGGTACTTAGGGCATTTTTAGAAGCCGTAGATTTTCTCTTCTGGGAACACAAGCATTGATAGTCATTTGAATAAGATCAGAAATATTAGATACTGTCCTTTGTCGCTTTTTATTGGATATAGGGCAATCCCTAGCATCACGGGCCCTCTCCATCACAAAGATCAAAACATAATCCTTAGATTTTATATAAACATAAGTAGGGGATGGGGTTAAAAGGTGTTACATCTTGCTCAGGGTGTGGTCTTGTTTGACCTAGCTTGATGAGAGTATTCATAGAAAATAAATAATTAAACACAAACACATGATGTAACACGAATTTTTCCGTGTCGATTTTGAATTCTAACAATAAAACTGGCTTCTTTTCTCAAGTTAGAGCAAAAGTATTTACTAAAAACTTATTCTCTAATTTCTCTCTCCCTTTCATTCTCAAACCGTATATTTGTTATATACTCTTGTGCTGAATTAAGATTGACCGTCTGGGTAGACACAAAAATTCATCGTCGTTTTATGGATAAAAAAAGGTCTAAAAAGAGGTCTTTTAAGGTCTGTTTGGTTCATGAGAATAAGGATTCGTAGTTGGAATTGAAATGGTCCAATCGGTTTAGTTGGACAGTATCTAAATCTCATTTCCATTCCTGGAATGATACCCCCTCCCCATGGGAATGGGAATACTGATTTCAATTCCACTTCTAATTCCTGTCTGAAGGAATAAATCATTCCGATTTTGATTGTAATTCAATTATGACTGCAAATCAATTAGTAGAAGTGATATTGCTATTAAAAAAGGTAGAGAAAAAGAAAGAAAAGTAAATGGCTCTTCTATTCATGCTAACCACTAATCAATAAACAATCTATCAATCCTATCAAACAAAAAAAAAAAAAAGGGATTGCTCTCAAAGTTTGTTCATCTAGTCTCTATGATTACTGGGGTGCTTTTCCTTGAAAGTTTCTATTTATATTAATGAGAATTTCTCTAACATTCTTCTAATTCATGCTTGCTATGTTTAGAGAATATAGAATGACAACATGCCTTGTGCCATCTTTTATCCAAATAATCCTTTTCCACCTGGCAAAATATTACCCTTGTCCTTCATCAATATCAAGGACATTATTTGAGTTGTGTGGGGTACAAGACCTAGGCTGGCTTATTTTCCCAACTGGCTTGCCTTGTGTTTGATCATGGAAAAGGACAAAAGACATGTGGCTAAATGAGACATAGAGGGTGGTTAGGATTGAACCATATGACCCCTCCTCCATAGAGCAACAAAGCTGCCATTGGGACCGATCAAGCTCAAGTTGCATTCATAGTATGTGCCTTTTAGATAATCTAAGTCTAAACTGAAAGACCTAGTCAGGAGAAGAGATTGCAACTTTTCACCCATCAAATTATGAGCAAGCAGTTAGGGAGGGAAAGTCTCCTTTTGTGTGCGTTGGAATTGCTTTGATCACTCCAATTATACAAAGGTTGCTAGGCTGTTTTGTCTTGTACAACTGAAACAAACGACAATCATTTTGGGCTAACTAAACAAGTTTAGACCTTTATGAGTCAAACCCTAAATTATTACCCTAATCACCAAACTTAATCCTTGATTTAGCTTGAGTAATGCTTCAGAGGCTGCCTTTGTCTCTATCTGGAGTTCTAGACTCCAACCAACCCTACCAGCATCATAAGGAGTTAATGACACCCCCCCCCCCCCTTTCTCTCTCTAGTCTCTAAATGGGATTTTACAAGCAGTAGGGGGTTTGTTTGATGTACTTGTCATCATCAAAGACAATTAGGTGAATGGAAATCGAATGGCTAACAAGCATTTGATTGTATATGAGAGGTGGGGCCAGGCCCATTAAATGTCCTAGCGTTGTATCCCCATCGTTTGAAGGGAAACTAGGTGTCCACACCACATAAACCACTGTGGACTGTAGCTTGATGGATGATCACAACCAAATGATTCCAGATAAGGTGCCTTTCACCAAAGTTTCCTTTGTTTTTCTTTTCTTCATCTCTCTTTCTTTCTTTTTTTTTTTTTGGGCCATTATCGCCTACACTAACACACCCAGACCCAGTTGGTCATCTCCCACAAATTCTTCTTCAAATTCAATTCAGAAGGGCTCTGCTATTACTGCAAATCATGGGCTGGGCTTGGGTTGGGCACCCTCTCAACAAAGAGAAAGAGATATCATTCATATAGTATCCTATCCCATTCCCCATGGGCGCATATTAGCGAGGCCTCCCCCCTCTTCGTTCTTGGTTGTTCATTCATTGATTCATTCCCACGGCCACCAACCAAACAGCTCTAAAACCTTTGCATTCATGTCTGACTGACGCACTGTGAATTGCCCGTACAACTCATACGAGCAGATGAATCGGCTATCTTCAGTCCTTAGCTCTCCAACGTTCACGGCACGTGTCGCCCAGTTAATCGACTCGTGTTAAAACATCAATGAGATCGTCCGTCTCAATTGAATTCATCAATTGAATACAGCATTTAAACCCCGCTCGTTGCCCAACCTCACTTTCTTTGTTCTCTCTCTCTCTCTCTCTCTCTGACTGAAACTGAAGTTGATACTGGAGCTGTGTAAAATCCCAGCGCATCTTAGCTCCCTCCTTTCTCTCTCTCGCACTGAATCCTCGGTGCAGCTTAGCGTCTGATTCTCGAGCCCTAATGGCTCGCCGTCTTGATCTCCTGGTTCCTCCTCCTCCTCCTCCACCACCACTGCAGAATAACCCAGGAGGAGCAGTTGCAGAAACCTTTCGTGATGCTCGTAGTCATGGTGGCGATTCTTCGTCGAGTAATGTGAACCCTAGCGTTCTGATAATCTCTCTCATCATCACCTTCGTCTTCTTTGCTTCGGTTTCTATCCATCTCCTCCTCCGTTTCTGCCGCCGCGCCTCTTCTTCCGACGAGGACGTCGTCGCATCCGCGGAGCCGCATCCCGTTCCTCGCGTCTCCAGCCGTCAGGTGTTGCCGGAGTACCAGTCGCTGATCGACTCTCTCCCTCTCTTCACCTTCGACTCTGTCACGGGAGTACGCAGCTCGTCTCTCGCGGCCGAGTGCGCCGTTTGCCTGTCGAAATTCGAGCCACACGACCTTCTCCGCTGTTTGCCTCTCTGCTTGCACGCCTTCCACTCTCAGTGCATCGATAAGTGGCTGTCCTCAAACCAGACCTGTCCTATCTGCCGCTCTGCAATCCATGTCTCTGAATCAGAGCTTCTGTCGAAGTTGTCGTCTTTATCTACCGGTGGCGATAGTTTCCGGATTGAGATTGGGAGTGTTAGCCGGCGGAGATCACCGACGGGACCACCCAACGAGTCTAGGCGGTCATACTCGATGGGATCGTTTGATTACGTGGTGGAACAGGAGTGCGAGGTCGTGGTGTCGCCAACACACAGGCGAGGAGCTTCAGAATGCATTTTAAGTGGGAAGGAGAAGGATGGCGGAGGCGGAGGTAGGGACGGAACAGCAGCCGCAGCTCCAGCTCCTCCTCCGAGTACGCCTGCGCCAGAGCCGCCGGGATCTGAAGTAGCAGCGGAGGTGGCGAGCGGGAGAACTTGGCTGAAAGACTACGTAGACAGATTAGCTTCTTCAGCATCGTCATCATTTTCCTCGCGCACTCTTTCGTTTCGCCTTTCCGGAAGATTCTTCACTGGAAGCAGTCGCCGCAGCGAAGTTTTCACGGGAAGCAGTCGCCGCAGCGACGGTGGCGCCGCTGTTTTCGGTGGCGGGAGCTGGGATTTGGAGGGAAACCGGGTGGGCGAAGAGATCACTAACTTTTTCCGGTGGTTATCGGGGGTATGATTCGTAATTTTCATCTCAAAGTTGGGGCAATTTTGGAGAGAACAAAAAATAATAGAAATGGCCTCGGATCAGGCGGTTTTATTATATCTGTACAGGGAGTTAAGTTGGAACCTGAAGCCCGGAGCCTGGAGGTTAGAGCCAACCGCCAAGAAGGAAAGGACAATAAAGTTCACAGAAAATGCCCTCGGGTATGAGACCTCTCCCTTCCTACTACAATGGATATTTCCGTCATTTCCGTCTAAGATTCATGAGCATTCAATAATTTTACGGAAATACCCCTACAGGACAGAATTGTATTTTGGAATTTTGTAAAAAGTTGCTTGTGATAATCAAACGGTTAAGATTTAAAGTTTGGAATATTAGATGAATCATCAGGGAGTTGAAAGTTAAAACCTAAACCATCATTGGGCATTTAATTGGAGCGAGTGATATGTAAGTGAGGGACCGAAAGAGGAGAGAGAGAAAGAGAGAGAAGTGTGGATGGATGGATGGAGAATGTATTAATGGGCGCTCATTTATGACAAACCAGCGATAGCTGGCTTCATCACGTGACATTGACGTAGGTGGCATAACCATGATCGCTTGGGGTTTTATTGAAGTGTTTTTGCTTCCTCCCCCAAATGGGTGGTCCTGGTCCACATAGGAGGTCCCTAGCCATTTGTATCGATCCAAGTTATCAAATGAATGCCAGTGAGTCATTTCTTTTTGTGTTTATTTCAGTTCTGGCTCATATTAATTGACACCAACAGTTTTGGTCCTTTTGGATGGAGGGGCACCCCTTAATCCACGCCCTGGTTTAATTTGAGCAAGTTTTTTTTTTTTCTTGGTATATTGATTTGTGCATTTAATATGTGATTTCTTGTGGTCAAGGAATTAAGTGTATATTGATTGATGAAGAAATTCTGATGTATCAGTGGAACCATGGTATGAGTGGTCAATGAAACTTGTATTGGGGATTGGGATCTGGTCAAAAGAATTAACTATCTATTGATTTGATCCATTGGCCTTTCAAAATCAGCACCATATAAGCTTTTTTTGGGTTTAATGGTCAATTTTTTTTTGGTTAGAGACGGACTTTGAGTTAAAATAGTCATTATGGTGTCTCACTTTAGGTGGTAGTTTTGGTTTAATTTATCCCATTGTATCAAAAAAAATAGTCATAAAACATTTTGCATGAAAATCCGTGTTAGGGTGTAGCTTCAACTTGATATTTCCTGCTCTGGGAAGCAAAGTCTCAGAACCTGATTAATGTGAGGCTGAACATGGTGACATGGATGAAAATCACACAATTTTTCAATAAGCAATATTCAAGTACAAAACTACAAATACTGGTGAGTTTTTCGAGAAGTTATTTATCAGGGTAAATGTATTTACCCGTGTTTTTATTCAAGTAAATAAAACAATGGACAATTTTATTCCATCAAAGTGGTTGTAATTTTCTTTCTGTATGGAAAAGTTATTTATCATCTAAGAATATGGGTTTAACTTACCTAGATAAATGATGCCCGAAAAAAATAAATTTTCAGTAGATTCCACATAAATCAATTTTTCTTCTCGAAAAGATTATAAGTATAAACATGGGTTTGATTTTTTAAGTCAAAATATTGCAAATTTATTTGAAACATGGTACCAAACACGGGTCTTCTCCCCCATCAAATGTAACTTTGTGTATAAATTAATTGCTAGTTTTGATATTGGATTAAGTTGCTTCTCCCCCATCAAATGTAATCTATTCCTATTTAATGAACAAAACTTGGAAAATGGGTTCTTTTAACCACTTTAGTGGGAGTTCAAATCAACTCCCCACAACGTTCCACAGCACATTTCTGCCGTGTATTGAGAACATCTCCCGATAATGATATCATCATTTCTGGTGTTATTACCTGAAGATGTTCTCAATACACAGCAGGAATGTGCTGTTGGGGGGCAATCTTGTGGGGGCTGATTTGATCTCCGGTACTATAGAAACTTGGAATGAAACTTTGATATGGGTGGATCATGAAATGCATCTCAGCATCTGAATCATTCTCCACAGTCACTGTCGTCTTGCCTTCTCTATCAAGTCTTCAGAAGGAATGCAAACGAAATATCGAGTGAATTAAGAGGAATTGAGACTACAGTCAATCAACTCTTGAACTTATGCATCAAGCTTGGGGGTTGGGAGACATCTCTCTATCAATCAACAAATAATTTTTAGTAAATCCGTCAATAGTTTTGGGATATTACTCGAATCTCAAAATGGGAGACTATTGACGTTCAACTTGAGAATGGTCAAGAGATTAATTAAAAAGTAATTCATTTGATAGGCAAGAATAATCCTAGATTGTCCTGTTTGTCCAAGTAACTTCCTGGAAATTAAATTGGCAAATGCCGTTGTTATTGGATAAGGTATTTCTCTATTAAGTTGAAAATGAGGAAATATAAATTGCCCACTCTATCAGTACTAGCTATATGTTAAAAAAAAAGCTTCTGTTTTTGGCTGAACAGGATTTTTTAAGCCCCAATGCTGATTCCATTTAACAACAATTAAAGCATATCTTCAATAGTTACCCAACATGTGTATTGTAAAGTCTGGTTGTTTGGACGAAGTTACCCAACAGATAAGGTTCTTTGCTAAAAGGTTCAACTTTATTTGCAATTCTTGGGATATTAATCAAGACTCCTGCAATCACATCAGTCTATACAAATATACAACTTCATACATAACATGATCTCTCTCTCCTTGGTAAAAAGAAAAAAAGGAAGTTTAATTCATACATAAGATGATTTCTCCTTGTCAAAAGAAGTTTAATTCTGATTCTTAATGAACAGATAAGTTATGCTTCTTATTGGGTAAGAGAGATAAATTGAGCTGTTTGCCAGACAGTGTACATTCATACATGCATACATACAATATAGATGTCAACTCATAAATGAAAAGAAAAAAAGAAAAATCTGTCTGCAAAACTATAAAAAAACACATTTAATTCTATGAATACCCAATTGGTCTTCTCTTAGTGCTTGCTTCACATCATTAGAGAGATGTGCACCACTATTAAAAGCCTGATTCATCTCTGTATTACAAGGCTACTAGCCTCTTTTGCAAGCTCCATTACCTTTGGGAAAATTATACATCACAGTGTCAATCATCTCCCACCTAGTATCATCAATCCTATACATCCAGACCTCTCCACAAACACCAAGGTCTTTTATACCTATTTCCAATCATAGAAACTGTGGCATATGAATACAAACAAAGAACAATAATCTTTTATTAACAAATTTACATGTGTTTTGCACATGACAATTTTAAGTGATGATAGTGATGATAATAACAATGTCTCTACTTTTTTTTATACATTTTTTATTTCTATGTATATAAAAATAATTTTTATTCATCACATTTATTTTTGTTTAATATGATGAATATACAATATTATAGATGCACTTAAATGTTTTCTACAAAATTAATGCATCTTTTTATTTTATTGTGTTTTTTTCTTTTTTCTTTTTAATTTTATTCTTTAATTATAACATCGCATGTTTACACATTTGGCCCAAAGGTTGAACTATTGACTTGCCACCAAATAGGAAAACAATTTATTTTTTTTTTTGGTTGGTTTTAAATTTTGTGTTTCATTTCCATCAATAATGAAAATAATTTTTTTATGCCACTTATTTTTATTTAATTTGATTAATACAAAAAATATCAAAGATGAGCTCTTATTTTTTGTATTCATTTCTATTTTAAAAAAAAATTATTATTTAACTATGATATCAGGGGTTGTCCCATTTGACTTACATCATTGAATTGCATATCCACCACCTTAACAGAAAAATGATTTTGTTTTTTTGGTTAATTTTAGAAATCATGGGCTTTATATTGTTAAAAAATGTCTTATTCTTTATTTTTTATAATTTTTATTTATTTCTATTTTAAAATTTTATTATTTGACAATGACATCATGATTTGACTCATCTGACCCGAAATAATTGATTGCATAACCACGACCTTGATTGAAGAATGATTTCATTATCATTAATTTAAAAAAAAGGGCTTATATTGTTAAAAATATTTAATGTAGTTCTAATTAGTAGTATTTATTAATAAAAAATACCTTAAATATAATATTTAATGAGATAGCATAAAAGTCAATAAATTAAACATAAGACTTATGGGCCTTCTAAAAAACATAGGACTTAATGATAGGAAATTAAATGAGTCCAAAAGTAGGAAGTTCAAATTACATTTCTAGAGCTCAAAGTTAGAAATGAACTAAATTAAAAATTATGGGTGTAAGTGGCCATCTTAAACCATAAAACATGGCAAGACTAGATGATGGGAATTTCTAAGAACATTAGCTGCACCACTATGGGGCTTTAGTCAGCTCCTACTATGGCCAGGCAAATGAGTTTTATATCTAAATCCTAAATCTTAAATCCTAGAACCTGAAACCTAAACTCTCTACATAGAAACTGCAAGGTGCCAACCAGTGGGTTAGTAAGGTCTTCTGTTGGTCGTAGGGGAGATTTGAAATCGAATCCTGCCTGCACCTGGGTTGGGTTAAAAAAAAAAAAAAAAAAAAACTCTTTACGACTGTACCCATAAACCCTAACTCTTACATCCTAAAATTTAAGTGTAAAATGCATTTGATCGGATGCATGTCCTCGGACTAGATAGGAGCCAATATTTTCTCACAACTATAGCCAGGATTACCCTTACAGCACTAAAAATATTAGTGCTATTGATTAAAAACCAAACAGGGGCTAGAACTAGAAGCTCTTGGGGGCTTTTTTAAAAGCCTGACTCTGCCGCCTCGGGGCAATTAGTTTAATTTCCTGCAACTCCAGTCCTTCGCTTTGCAGACGAATTCCGAGAGAGGCAGGGAGAAAAGGGGGACAAAATGCTTCCCTTTTTCTCGTTTTTCCGTCGAAATTGGAATATGATGGTACCACAGTGCTGTCGATTTGACACTTGGGATTTTACTAGTGATTTTGCAGAGGAAACTGCGTAAGCATCTTGAGGATTGTGTTATTGATAAGCATAAAAGCTAGGGAGGCTTCTGTGTAGTTTATGGACAACATGATCAGGCTAGGCGATATCTTTTACAGCTTCGCACAACTTGCCCCTTATTCAATGAAGAGATACCTCGGAACCCACAAGGCTCGGGGGCTTCCGGATGGGAGCTTATGGGTAGCTTTCCTCTCAACACAAGCAGATTCGTCTAGGATTCTGGGAGTTAGCTATCAATTTCAGAGGTACTCTGGGTCTCTGACAGTGGAATCTATCAGCGAAGGATGGGGAAATGTTTGTCGTTGGGGACCAACATCCATGTGCAGCCTTCACTCTTCACCCCCCTCAATCTTCTAAATTTTTGTTAATAGTCTGTGTTGGGGTTGTCAATTGCAAAGCAGACTGTTAAAAAAACTACAGAAATTTGGCAAAACTTACATTAACAGATCACGGAAATTCTCCTGGTTCATTAAGAAAACATGGCAGCAGTGACTTCAATTTAAAAAGGTGCACTGTTGTTCAGTAGAGCTCAAACGTATGGCCAATGAAAAATGAATGGGTAGTGTATTGGGTGGTACAGATTCTCCATTAAAGCTTGAACTTTTGTCTTGAAAAAGAGTCCTTTGTATTCTCCATCTGTCTACTTATTTCACTCAGCTTTTCTTGGGGCTCTGGTAGTGGCAGGTGCTGATACTGTTACAAACTGAATGAAG